CCTACCTCCCTACCTCCCTACCGTTCCCCTCTGCCGTGTTTGTCGTTGGCTGCAAGGAATGATTTCATCTGAGATGATGTTTTCTTTTTAAATGAAACCTCTGAGAAGTCTTATTGCATCTTCCAAACAAACTGCTGAACTCGACTGCTTTTACCAAAAGCATGCAAAATTTTCCCCTCAGGATCCTTAGAGGCCCTGGAGTGCCTGCCTTGCAAAACCTGGGGCAGTGAACAGAGTCACTGTGGAGTGATTTCTGTAGGATACCTTTAGAGAGCGTGCTTACATGTGTATTTATAAGGACATTCATACACATTTAACACATCAGATTCTCTTTTGGTCTGTTACTGCATACACCAAGCAGAAGGAAAAATAACCAAGGTATCCAAAGAGCTGCTGCCCAGCTGGTAAACTCTGAACAAAACCCAACCCCTCCAAGAGGCACAGACAGAAGCAATTTTTATCCCTGGCTTTCTCCTGCCCCTGAATACACGTGGTTGTCTCTTTGTGATCATTTCAGATGCCTCAGGAACAGTACCCACACCGGAGCACCATGCAGACCTCAGAAGGACCCCAGGTATACAAAGTGGGGATTTATGGCTGGAGGAAGAGGTGCCTCTATTTCTTTGTGCTGCTCCTAATGATTTTAATCCTGGTGAACCTTGCTATGACCATCTGGATTCTGAAGGTTATGAACTTCACAATTGTAAGTAGGGGTTACGCTGGAAGGTCTGGGGAAGATGAGGGAGGGTGCTGGTCTTTCCTCTGGGCATGACTTCAGATACAGCTTCAGTAATGGGTGTTTCATTGCCATGGACAGTCCTTTTATAGAGAGGAACAAATTTACACAATGATCCTCTCTTTCTGCTGGGCATTGCAAAGCTGAGGATTCAGCTCAGCACTGCAAATCATGTTCCTCTTATCTGCTGTGTATGCGTATATACGTGTACTTATGCAAACAATATACACCACTCATCTCCAATTTTCAATTATAAAGTGTTTTAAAATTAATGAAATCAGTTATTTTGAACTTGGATATGGAATGGTTTTGAGTGTTTCCCTTAGACTTTTTCTGCTTTTCTCCATGACCAGGAAGACAAGAATCTTGATTTGCTTTTTTCTTTGGGAAAATGAACGTTGTTCTGTAATGATGTAGTTCTGGAAGCTTCATGAAATAAAATAAAATAAAATTTACAGGGTTTCTCCCTGGCTGTGGTACTTAGGTGGAGCGTGTCCTCATCCTTGTATGGCTGTGCTTGGTGCACATCAGTCCTGCTCTCCCTTGCTGCACAGGGTTAGCTTTCTAACCTCTAGTCCTCCCTGGCCAGGGTTAGCTTTCCACTTCCAGGGCTTGTGAGCCTTTATATATGGCAGATTGTTGTTTTTCACTGGATAATTTGACCAGGCAGAGTGAAAATGGAATTATCAGTCACCTCTATTCCAAGTAATCATTTCCACCTTGTTCAGATGAGATGATTCATTTTAAGATTGTTTGAGTCTTCAGGAGAAACCAAATCTGAGGCTTTAATCCTGGTTTTACTTCCTGAGGGAGCTGTAAAACACTTCCCTAGACAACTTCCAAGGACCTTCCAGCCAGGCTCTGATATGAGCAGTGTGTTTGAAGTCTTTTTGGCATTTCTTCATCTGCTTTGGTCCTGTGCAGTCTCAAACAGCTGTGGCCAGCATTATGTCATTAATGGGCCATGAGAAGTTGAATAAACAATCTCTGGCTTCCTGGACCCAGCAGATAAAATGCTGTGTCAGGGGAATGTGCAGTGTTCATTTTCTCTAACCAGGTTGTTGTCAAGGTGTGCAGAAGAGTGCAGTGCATGTGTGCATAGGGAGCAGGCAATTATAAAGCAGTAATCCACAAAAAGCTCCTGTGAGTGGGCAAAGAGTGGCCAAAGTGGAGCAATTAATGCTTAACCAGACCAATTATTTAATCTTGTGAAATGGATGCCATTTTGATACCCATTTCATGCTGAACTATGGTCTGTAGATTAATGGAAATAGGTATTTCTGAGGTGATGGAGGATTCATCACACAGGCAGTGGTGTGGGTATCAATCTGAGAACAAAATAAAAGGATTTCAGATTATCACTTTTCAGGAATACAGCTTTATTCTTTTTCTAACAACATAACTTCAGTCCCATGCATTTTTGCTAATTGGTGCTGGTCAGTCAGCTCTCTGCAGATTGCCTGGGAAGTCAGGTGAACATCTGTGCTCTTTCTCCATCACTGCCCTCTGATGATGCACTGCATTTTGCAGGCCAGGTGCTGAAGTGCCATCTCCCAGGGATGTGTGCAGAAGCCTCCCATTTCCAGCAGCTCTGTCCCACTAGGATACAGGCTGCCTTTTGGGGGCATGCACTGATCTTCAGTTTCTTCTCTGATTCTGTTTCCTTACTTGCCCTTGGATTACTGGGAATTATTCCAGGGTAAAGTATATTTGTGTATGGCTTAGTTAATTCATATCTCCTAATGCTAGTGGATGATGAACAGCATTTGGTGATAAAAACACAGGTGGTGCTACTGAGTCCTGCAGTGGGAGCAGCTTTATGGTTGTAGGCATGGCCACACTAGTCAGGGTGAGTGTTTCTGGCACAGCCAGTTGCAAATAAATACAAGAACTGGGCATGTAAAATGTGAGTCTTGCCCCAGTATGCACCCATTCATCTCCTGAACTCCTGCTGCTCCTGCAGCCTCGCCAGCTGCTTTGGATCCTGCTCTGCAATCCCTCCTGCACCACTCCCTGAGGCTGAGAAAACCACTTGGCTAAGTGAGTTTTTAGAGGCAGACTTTTATCCCTAAATAACAAATGTAAGAAAATTATCAAATGAGCAGATGCAAATATGGAAAAATCTTTAATTTGTTCCTGTTCTGATAAGAGGAGCTGAGAGTCCTTCTGGGGCAGAGGAGTGATCTGAGTAGTCAGTAAGCAATAGCTGCTGCTTAACAGGTCTGAGTAACCCCAGTGCTTGCAGAGCAGAAAGGGGGGGAATCTTTGTGTTTCTGTTCTTCTGGAAAATGTAGTATTTCTAGCATCTTCCACCCCTAAGCTCTCCTTCCAGAGTCTGAGTCTCTTCAACTCCACAGAACAGTCCTGGCGCTTACCAGAATTTAATGATGCTCATTATAGCCAATAAGTGCTCACAGTATTTTAATGAGCACAGCAAACCTGCTCAAGAAAACTCAGGGGTGTTTTAAATGCTGAGAGTGGGGAGTGAAGAGTGGGGAAGGGGAAAGGAGATGAAGCAAGACAATCTCAGGATAAAAAAACACCTCCTCCTGCTTGCTGTAGCAGTATCCATCCACTCCACTTCCTTGTCCAGCCCTGACCTCCCTTTCTCTGCCCTCTGCCTGCCCTCCTGGCTTCTGCTTCAGGAGACGGCTCTGTGAAATCAAACCATGGGCTTCAAATCAGTGGCTTTTAACAAGCAACCATCACTAATTTATTCTAGCTTTTGCTTTTATTTTAATGTTCAAGGCTTAAACAAATGTATGTGTGGCTATTGCCCCTTACACAGGGCTGTCAAAGCAGTGTCACACCTGTGTAGGGACAGCTGGTCACTGTCTGCTCTGTCCTCTGGCACAATCATTCATTTCTCATGTATTCTTTGATACTCAATTTGTTTTAAATGCATTTATCCAGCACAGGGTGTATGAAAAACAGGCCTAGAGGGGACCTCAGATGTCATCTGCCTGTGCCACAGCTAGTTAGCCATAGCCAGGCCCATTTGCTGTGTTCATTTACACCAGGGCTGAGCTGCTCTGGGGCTGCAGGAACCTCTGGGCAGGCTCCTGCCTCTGAACCTTGCTGGGAATTTTAAGCCAAATCATGGACTGCATCTGGACCGAAGCCACCAATTTGGTTGAAGCCCAGATGTAGCCTGAAGGTGGCCTAACCTAATTGAGGTGGAAACCACCATCGACTTTCCAAGGATATATAGATACAGAGTGCCCTGCTTCATTCAGATCTTGGACAAGCCTGGTAGTAAATCTGTGGTTTGCACATACTGGGCTTGGGGAGGTGATGTTAATGCCTGTGGGCTGTGTGTGTGACTGAACCACTCAGTCTGCAGGTCCCACACAGTCACATCAGCGTGGCAAAGGGCTCAGCCTCCAGCTGTGGAAAGCTGCAGCTGTGGTGGGCTCAACCTCCAGCTGTGGCAGTCATAATATCCAGCTGTGGCAGTCCAAACCTCCAGCTGTGGCAGTCCAAACCTCCAGCTGTGGCAGTCTAAACCTCCAGCTGTAGCAGGCTGAAGCTTGAGTTGCACAGAGCTTGGCTGAGGTGGGCATAGCCCCTGCATGGGCTCGTAGGTCCCAACTTAATTATGAAGCTGGAATGAGAGCTCTTAACAAACCTTCCTCTTTCTGGTCCACCTGCATTAGCAGGCAGTGATGCAGCTCTTCAGCAGCAGCACTGCCCGTGACTGTGCATATTAGCACATGAATATTTTATGCTGCACACCAATGATGTGCTGGGGATCTCTATTTCACCACTTACTAGTGAGCTTAAAACATTTTTTAAAAAGCTTCCTATTGTATTAGTTTCTGATTATTACAGGAAAAGATGTGCTTACATAAACACAGCAAACCAATATCCTTATTTTAAGCAGTCCGAAGCTAGAAAGCTCTGATAATGGGCAATGACAGTGCCTTGACCTTTTCCCACAAGGGTAGCACACAATGCCTGGTATTTTAAATGGTGTTAGGAGTCTGAAGCACCATCCATTAGTACCCCTTTAGAGCCTGTTAGGCAGCAGGCAGAGTTTTAAACAGGAGAGATGAGGACTGTGTCCTATTGTGGCTGCATTTAAATGTCAAACACCCATCTACTTGTGTGCCCATCAAACCATACAGGATCTTTTGCTTTTCCTTTGCTCTTCCCCGATGTTTCTATCCACAGCTCCTGTTTGCTTGTTAGGGATTGTATTTTTTGGGAACAGGAGTTGTTTGCATATGTAGTCTTATATACTGGCAGGTTCTACTAGATTTTAAACTGTAATAAAGAGAAAATAATAATATTTTCCCCCAATCAGTTTGCAAGGCTTGAAATTCCTAGAGAACTGTGTTCTTGGAATCATCCAGAGTAAAGACTTCAGATTAGTTTTGTAAATAAAGTACTCTGCAAGTTGGTATTCAGGAGTGCCTCCATGAGCCAAACTAAACATGTTCTCCAGACTGGGAGAGCACCATCCCTGGAGATGTTTACAGATGTGCAGCTCTGGTAGCTAGGGACAGGGCTTAGGGTGGACTTGGCAGTGCTGGATTAGTGGCTGGACCAAATGATCTTCGAGGTCTTTTCTGACCTGAATAATTCTGTGTCTCCATGTGCTGCTTCCCAGCCTGTTCAGGCTGCTTGTGCCCTCTGTGTGTGCACCTCCAGGGGGCTGCAGGGTGGGAATGGGAGTGACCCCCTCCTTCCACCTTCCCTGGGGTACAGAGAGGGGGATCTTCCCCTCCTGGCCCAGTCAGGCTCAGCCTGGGGGTCCCTTACCACAGCCCGTGCCACCTCTGGGTTCTCCTTCCATAACCATACGAAGTCTGCACCCTTCAGCATGAAGTTCAGCCATATTTTATTATTTTAGTTGAACAGGAACAAATTACTTCAATTGTTCAGTTTTTTCCCCTTTTTTTTTTTTTTGCCTCAGGCTGCATTCATAGCTGAAGGGGTCTGGTTTAGCAATGTTGAATGAAGTG